CGTTTGCCAGTCAAGCGCTTATCCTACTGAGCCATCTCCCCGGCCCCCTGTTTTCTTTTTAAAAATTAAATTAGTTTATTTTTTGAGATATGGTCTCACTACATAGCCCTGGCTGGCCTCCAGCTCTCAGCGATTCTCCTGCCTCAGCCTCTTGAGTGCTGGGTTATAGGCTTGGGCCACCACACACAGCTACAAGGCTGTTTTGCTTTAGAGCTGCAGCCTGGTAAAGTAAACCAAGAATGCTGAAAGCTGGGGACAGAGGTGCAGGCTCCAGAACTGACTTGTGAAGAAAGGAGGAGCAGAGGGTCGCGTTCGTTTTTTCTAACCTTTGCAGCAATTCGGTGTGCACAGAAGGTGCTGTGTCGTCGTCCTCGCTGCCCTGTTTCTCCTCCCTGTCTTCTTTCATCCACTCTTCCCTACAGCATCCTTGGGGCCGGGGAGATGGCTCAGTGGAATAAGCGCTTCTCTGGCAAGCGCAAGGGCCTGAGTTCAATCCCCAGTGAGCAAATAAACAGTTGCTTTTTTTTTTTTTTCCAAAATTTTATTGATAAACAGATAGCAACGAAACAGTTTCAAATCAAATTGGAAGTACAGATTCAACAAATAAAACAGTTGCTTTTATAGCGTCCTTCATGTTGAGGCCCAGTCCAGGAATCCCAGGCTCGGAGGCCCAGTGTGATTGACCAACTGGGGTTTCCCAGGCCCCAAGCCTGGGGCTACTCCTCCGTGGCGGTTCTCGCGCTGCAGCCACGGCAAGTGCTGGCACTCTCTGACATCTGACCTCGGCCTATGTGAGAAGCTCATTACTTATCATCTTTTTTTTTTTTTTTCCCAGAACCGGGGATTGAACTCAGGCCCTTGCGCTTGCCAGGCAGGCGCTTATTCTACTGAGCCATCTCCCCAGCCCCTTACTTGGCATCTTGAAGCCCAAGATTTTCAGAAGTTAAATCCGAGCTGAAAACGGAGGCAATTACCCAGATAATTTAGGCAAACTTTGTGCTTGTGTAGCTAACATCCATGTCTGAATCATTGGAATAATTGTTTCCACTCCTACTTCTCATTGTGTGGTCAAAGAGGCCAATTCGGCCCTGCCAGGCCCCGTTTGTTTTGTCCCCGTAGGAGGCTGAGTTCTTACGGCCTAGTTAAGGTCCGAGGCGCGGAACAAAACCGGGGACAGAGCGGTGGGCAGCGCGCCCTGTTACCGCTGGAGACCAGCAAGCTTCGCGTGGCCCCAAAATCCAGCCAGCCAGAGGCGCCCGCAGCCTCTCCTGATCCTGCTTTCAGAAAACACTCCTGGCAAACCATGCCCGCCTGTCCAAGGGGTGTGTGTGTG